CAGTCGACTACATGGGAGTCCAGCAACATAGCCATTACGCTAACTGCTGGTCCCTATTATTACTATTTTTTAATTTAACCAGAGAGAGACAGAAAGAGAGAGAAGGAAAGTGAGAAAACAAGCCACCTGGTCCTAGACTCGAACCATGGTCAGCTATGTGGGAGTCCAGCACCTTTAATCACCACACCACCTACTGGCCTCTGTTGTTTCTAACTCCAGGACCACTTTTGAGTAGGGAAACCACAATTAATCCTAATCCTCACCACTCTACTGTGAAGCCCAAGCCTTCGGTGATTTTTACTTACTTAGCTTCTATAGGTAGTTGAGTTTCCAACTCTGCCCACCTCCCTCATCTTACAGATGTGAAACAGGCCCAGAGAGAATGAATTCAGCATGGTCAGTTAACAAGTGAGTGTTGGCCTATCACTCCACTATAGGGTTATACCTTCTGCCTACAAAACAAATGGTTATACGTCAAGTATCTGTGCTGCTATGAGGAAATTAAGACATTCTAAGGCAGAATGGAATGATAATGGCGAGCATTTACTCAACATCAACTGTGGCCCAGGCCCTATGCTAAATGTTTTACATGGATTATCTTGTTGAACACATCTGATGCAAGAGGGAACATAATCTTGTACTATAAAGTCACCAGGTCAAGAGAGGTTTGGGGAGGTAGTTTTTAGGTTTTTGCCGTAGAGTGCATGCACTCATCAGAGAGAGACAGAGAGAGGGAAAGTGAGAAATCACTCCCCAGGAGGATGGCCACACCACAATCCCTTCTCCTCTATTCTCTTCTCAGGATTCTGGACATGCACACACATGGTTTTCTCTCTCTTTTTTTTTTAAGTAATTATTTATTTAATTTTATTAATTCATTCATTCCTTTTCATTTGACCAGAGAAAGATACAGAGAGAGAGAGAGAGGGGAAATGAGAAAGCAAGCCACCAGGTCCAGGACTCAAACCGTGGTCAGCTATGTGGGAGTGTCCAGCGCCTTAACCACCACGCTACCTGCTGGCCCCACACACATGATTTTCAAGTCACTAGGTCAAACTACCAGTGAGCCATGTGGGAATCAAGTACCTTAGCCACCACACCACCTGTTGGCCCATAAGGGAGGTTTTATAACTTTCCTAGGATCACCTAACTAATAAGTAGAAGAACCAGGATTCAAACCCAACAGTCTGAACTCAAGAGTCTATGTACTTAATTTCTGATTAGATCAGTTTGGTCAGCACAACTTGGTCTGTTCTGTTTGGTTGCCCAGAGTGAAATTTTAAGAAGGTAAAATAGATGGTTGAATAAATGATTAAGATTTTAGGGGGTTTCCCATTGCAGCTCATAATTCCAGTGTTATAACTTTATTCTTTTTAATTAACTGAATTCACAACTCATAGTCCTCTCGAAAAAATGTGTTTGAAGGACCAGCGGTTGGCATAATGGCTATGTCACTTTACTCCCATATAATTGACCACAGTTCGAGTCCTGGACCTGGTGACTTAAACTCACCCCAGGTGCATGCATGCCCAAGATCCTGAGAGGAGAATGGAGGAGAAGGGATTGTGGTATGGCCATCCCCCCTGGGGGGTGATTTCTCGCTTTCTGTCTCTCTGTCTCTCTCTGGTTTCTGGTGAGTGTACGTGCCCTATAGCAAAAACCTCACACACAAAAAAAATGTGTTTGATTCAAGGAAGAGTAATCTATTAAATCAATAGCTAAGTAAAGAATTGTTGACAGCCAGCTAAGAGCAAGAATGGAAATTCAAATGGAGGAGTGGGTGAGCCGGTTGGAAACTTGCCAAAGATTAACAGACTTACAACTTCACTCGGGATCAGTTGAGCCAAAAATGTCCCAACAACAACAAAAAAAAAAGAAAGAGAGAAACATCTATATTGCCCATGGAGAAAGCATGCGTCAGAGTGCTTATAAACAGAAATCTACTGGGCCAGCTGGTGGCGTGGTGGTGAAGGCAGCCGTAGATCTCGCATGCTCTCTGTGAGGTTCTAGTCCAGACCTGTGGCTTGGGGAACGTGCTGGGTACATGTGCATGCAGGCCCAAAATCTGAAAAGGAAGGAATAGAGGATAAGGGATTGTAGCATGACCATGCCCCATGTCTCTCTCCTCCAGTGAAGGCACACACCCTTTAGCAAATTAAAAAAAAAAAAAAAAAAAAAAAAAACCAGAAATCTACTCTTCTGGAAAGTCACAAATTTATCTTCACCCTAAAA